GGTTTCCCGCTCCCCCCCCCCCCGGTATTTTCTCAATTATGTTATAAACCCTTAATGGATCGATTCGGAAAAATAAAAATCGACTCGTTCAACGCGCCAACCAGATCCGAAACGTAACACAATAGGTGTCTTGTCATTTTTCGACCGGAGCAAGTTTTCTCGTCGAACATTTGTCTACAGCTATATAAAAAAAAACAATACATTCTTCGCTCCATTCGGAATCTTATATGCCTACACAGGCGCGAAATATAATTACTACGAGCTGTCTCGTGGTACCCGTCAGACTAATAGAATAACCGATAATATCGTTATTGAAAGTTATAACGAATACGGGGTTCTGGTGTCCCAGAAGGTCTGTGTGCACAGATGCGTGTGCTCTTCAATGCCCCCGGGGGCCAAAAATAATTATCCGAAGCCACGTGGACGGTACAGGTATAATGCACAACGTGTGCGGCCCGGGTCCCAGATGCGTCCTCTTGTATTTTCGCGCACAACTTTGAACTCGGGAACGTTTTACAGATGCGTAAAACCCGCTGGACATACGCAGTTACGCACATAGTGTACTCTCGGAACTCTGTTTTCGAATTCTAACGGTACATAATGTATACTTGTTAGGTCAGGTCACCGGTTGTTGTAAACTTGTGTTTATACACTGGCGTGTATAATACTTACCAGTGGGTACGGTTTTTTTTTTTTTTTTTTTAATGCTGCGATTCATTGGAAAATAATCGCAGAATCCCGGAATGTTCTTCTAATATTATTTATATTATATTAGCCGCTTAAACGTGTGGGGCGGTATACGATTTTTTAAAAATTGTTTCGAGTTGTTTGCAGCTATTAGAAATGTTTAATGTCCTATTTGGTTTTATGTGTACGCAATAATCGTTCATCGTAATTCATAATTATAAATAGTTTAAATAAGTTGTGCGTTATTGTATAGTAATTTTAATGACAAGCGGTTTTTGAAGTATTCAATTTTCAGGCAAATCGTAAAACTCAAGGTATTTCGCGAACTATTTTCCAATTTCCGCTCCACGAAAATGCTCAAAAGTCTGAGACGAAAAACCAATTTTATTGCACCGTTGTTTATTTAAGTTTATTAAAATATGTTTAACCGAACTTCACTCAGAATCGTTATTCTTTGACATTAATTTTTTTTTTGTTGTGTACCTCTATACAGATACAAACCGCATTAAAAAAACTACCCTAAATATGTGTACGGTGAAACCTCGATGAGTCGAAATTCAAGGGAAATTCAATTTTTCGATTTATTGAGGTTTTTGACTCACTAATAGGTTTACGCGTTGCATAGGTTTTTGGAAAAAATATTGGATTTAAGAACGTAACAATAATGTACGTACGTATTATAGTTTTTAATTATTATATAGTATATACGTACATATACATATAATTACAGTATGTATAGCTATTTGTAGCATTTTAAAATTGTGTTGCAAACAAATTATGATAACAAATGTTTACAATTCACTACACCATGCACGTGTGGCCGATCGATCGCACCTAACAATACCGAATGCAAAATATGATAATAAACACGATAAACCGAACGAAAAATCCGAAAATACACACAATAAACGATTAAGCGAAATTATGGGACGCACCAGCTGATTATCAAAATTATCCGTCTATATTCGGAACACAAAATGCTCGAGTTATCTAGTGTAAAGAGTTATCTAGTATAGTTATCTAGTATAAAAACTACACGGTAGTTTTTCTTTCGAGTAATTGAGATTAGGTTAACCTATAACAGTGGCCTACTCGTGGTGTGAAATATATTTTTAAATGTCGGCGTTTTTTCATTTGAATATAGGATTAGAATTAATTATCATTGATATACGTATAAAATGATATTAGGATATAACCAAACAACACAAATAGTTTAAATCTTGATAGCTATAAGTACCTAAGTAATTTTATCAAAAATGTTACAACCGTATCCACTTTCCCCTACCTATATACTTACTGTGCATTTGATAATAACTGCAAAGTTCGATGGGTAACTATATTTTACCTAAAGACCCTACGCGTGGAGTCTTCACAAATGTTTCCATATTGCGGGGCGTTAAATCGAGCGCGGTGATGATATAAAAACGTACGCTCAGAAGAACAGATAAACGATTTTTTTATTATCAATAAACAATATTACATTCGACCGAACGGTGATGGTGTCGTATGTACAAAATTCTCGACGACGTCTGGACGTACGAG